TTGCCATAAAAAATAAAACTAGAAAAGCACTACCATTTTGGCCGAATATTAATGCTGCTATTGATTTTGTATTTTAAGAATTAGGTAAACCTTATTTGAGTTAGCTATATTACAGCCTGTTGGTTAAACCACTGACCTACAGAACACTCAATGGCATCAACTTAAGGAAAAATGTTAGAGATTGTATAGCCACAATAAAGTGGATAAGCCTAGCTATAACGCCATCATATCTTTAGGAGAGTTTGCTAATGCAGTCTCTTAAGTTGATGCCATTGACAGAACAGTTACGATAATTATTGTTGTTTTCAATAATTATTTCAGATTTTTTTTTTAAATGTGATACATATAATTTTGCTTCTGAAGTTAAAGGTTTTAAATAAGTATAGAGTAAATCTATTTTATTTGCTCCCATTCTAATTTTTTCTTTAACAAAACCTCGTGTCATGTCCATAATTGTTAGTCCTTGTTCTTGCATAAATTTGTAGTTAGCAATATAGCCATATTTATAAAGATTATGGTTATGCGGTACGATAAGGCGATTAATACCTACGACTAAAAAAGCAAAATAACTTGATTTGAAATCTACAAACGAAAGACCCATGTATACTAAATGCTTCTCTAGATAAATTAAGCAAATATAAAAATACTGAGAATAAATTGAATTTTCTAAATGTTCTAAGATTTCTTGTGTGTACATTATAGCAGGGTAGTCAAATTTTTGTGCATGTTGAATATATAGGCCTACAATCTTTGTGAGAATCGATTTATTACGTACTATATCTTTAAGAGGAATCCACTCTGTTACATAATTCTGCTCAATTTCACGAATTTCATTCATAGTGTCTCTACAACTTCTGCTGGATAAAGAATTTTTAAGGTGAACTTGCCATTCGCACGAAAGTTTAACAATACTATTAAAAAAACTTGGTATAGGAATGTAGCCTTTGTTAAGTAAAGAAGCAATATTATTTTCTCTTATACAAGGAATCATTAAGCAATCAATATTAGAAGCAATAGCTTGTTGTTCTTGATTAATTAACTCTTTATAATCGATATCTTTGCCATCAAAAGCTATGTTAAAAAAACTACATTCAATTAAGGCATGACGTAGCGGAGCATATAGATTTGGGTTTATTCCAATTTTTGACATATATGTGGCCCATAAACCCATATTAGGAATATTAGTATATGGCATATTATTAACGCCAAAATATTTACTAAAAGTATCTAAGAGGTATTTTCGTGTTTTATAGTCTTCAAAAACTTTTGAGAGCATTTTATTTACCTTGTTAAATCATTTGCCTTGACAGTGATCCCATCTTATAAGAACTTTGCCACATTGTCCTGTTAATGCTAAATCAAATGCTTTTTGAAAATCTTGAGCTGGAAAAATATGAGTAATAATAGCAGTTACATCTAATTTATTAGTGAGAATTTCAAACATTTTGTGCCAAGTATCAAAAATCAGACGACCATATATACCTTTAATTGTTAAACCTTTAAGAACTATTGTATTTACATCTATTAAAACTTTGTCTTTTAAAATTCCAAGTTGTCCTATAATGCCTCCAGGTCGAACTATCTCTATTAAGTTTTCAAAAGCTTTTTGGCTTCCTGACATTTCATAACCAATAGTTATTGATTCCAACAAATTTTTTTGATTTTTTAAAATTTCTTCAATGCTAGAACTTACTATTGTAGCACCAATTTTTTGCGCTAATTCACGTCGGTATTCGTTAGGTTCTATTACAATAATTCTATTAGCACTTTGATATTTTAAAATTGCGGTTAGAAACAAACCAGCGGGTCCTCCTCCTATAATAATAATATTCTTATTTTTACAGTCAGCAATCGTTGCACAATGTATACTATTTCCTAATGGATCTAAAATACTTGCTATTTCGTCTGAAATATTATCAGGGATTTTGATAACACTATCTTCTGAAACTGCTATATATTCAGCAAAAGCACCAGAAGTTGTTATTCCTATACACTTTAAACTTGTACATAGATGCAAATGATTTTTATCTGAACATAGAATACAATTTTTACAAAATATATGACCTTCAGCTGTGACACGTTCGCCTACTTTTATATTTTGAACTAAAGAACCGCATTTAACAACTTCTCCAACAAATTCATGTCCTGGAGTTAACCCAAGAGCTATAGTTCCTTGAGCCCAAGAATTCCAGTTATAAATATGAAGGTCAGTTCCACATAAACCAGTAATACGTACCTTTATTAGTACTTCATTTGGGGCTAGTGTTGGTATAGGTTTCTCATTTAGCCATAAACCTTGTTTAGGGTGGCTTTTACATAGGGATTTCATTACATGCATGATTATAAGAAACCCATGAATTTTTTTATATCTTGGTAACTCTTCAAAGCCATAGGTTTATCAGAAAAGGGATAGGAAGCACCCAAAGCCTCTGCAATTACCATGCCAGATATAAATGCAGCTTCATGACTATCAAAAGCTATGTCTAAACCACAAAACCAAGTATGTTTTTTTCCTTGAATAGATTTGATTTTAGTTTTAATAGAAATATCTTGAGGTTTCAGGGGATGTTTATAATTTTTGCTTTCAATAATTTTTTCTTGTTTTGGCATAGCACTGTTTTTAGGATTAAGAGAAATAATTAAAGGATAATCTAAATAATTAAGCTCTAAAGCTTTTTTTACATTGTAAGTATGACCCTCATAATATACCTTTTCGTGGTTTGGTTCAGAGGAGGTATATTCTGTTAAAGCTGTTCTAGGAATATTAGAAGAAAGTACCCCTTCATCCTTATGTAGAATGAAATTAAAGTCTACATATTGAAAGCTGCTTAATAATTCTCTTTCTTCATTACTTGGGTCAGATAACATAGAAAGAGCAGTATCAGCATGAGTTGCTATAATAACTTCATCAAACTCTTCCATATTTCTTTGAGCATCTTGTACAGTAACCTTATCTGTTTGCCTTATTAATGAAATAACTTCTTTCTCAAAACGTACTTTTCCAATAAAATTTTCTGCTAAGCGACTAATATATTCTTTTGTTCCTCCTACCACCCTGTGCCAGCAACAAGGATTAAAAAAAGAAATCATATTATTCTTAAAAATCTCAACTATAATAAACAGTGGATGATTTAATATTTCTTGTGGGCTAAAAATAACCGTACTTAATAAAGGTAAAAGTGCCTTAGCAATAAAAGTTTCAGAATATTTTTCAGTTTTGAGATACTCACAAAGAGGTTGCATTTGAAATTCAATAGAAGAGTTACTAATACTTAAAAGAGAAGAATAAAAGCGGTTACATTCATCTTTTATTTTATCCCAAAAGGTTGTAAGGAAGTTATTGCTCCAATTTTCTTCAGAACTAAAGCTAAAAGCAAGTGACCAAGATACAGCACAAGTAGAAACGTTAAATTGTCTAAGCATTTCAAGTAAATTAGGATAAGTCCATTGATGGAGTAGCTGTACTCCTAAATCAATAGGTATTACTTTATCTTTATATTGAAATGTTGTTGTGTACGCATGACCGCCTAGAACACTAGCTTTTTCATAAAGAACTATATCATATTTCTTATGCAGATTCCATGCTGCTGCTAGACCAGCTACTCCAGAACCAATAATTGCTATTTTTTTATTATTTTGCATTTTCTCAAAAATCTCCAATTAAATTTGATTCTATATTTTTTCTTTCTTGCACTCTAAAATAGAAGCATGAGGCTTTTTTATGTAATTTTTCAGTGTAGAACAAGCTTTATTTAAATCACCGGTACTACTAGTAAATAACTCAATTTGTTCAACTGATGAAAAGCCAGCCTCAATTAATGCTGCCTTCAATATGCTGCTTGACCAATAATATGCCGTTACTTTAACATCATAATTTGAATAACAAAGCTCCAGCTGAATCTTACCGCCTTCTGTATAGGGGTTATCAGATATTAACCTGAATCCATAAGGTTCATAATATTTGGGATTGGGATCGTACTCTGGATGTATTGGTAGGGTGATTAGGCGACCTCCAGATTTTACTAAACCAGCCATGGTACTGCACATTGTATATAATTCCTCATGAGTAGCAGCATACGGCAATACATAAACTCCTACCACTAAATCAAATATATTTTCAAGAGTTGGAGTTAACTCAGAAATAAATTCGATTCCAACAGGATTTTTTTCTTCTTGCTCTTTGGCATACTTTATCATACCATCAGCAACATCATAACCTACTACACGTTTTGCTCCCCTCTCTTTAAACAGACGTGAATACATGCCTGTACCACACCCAAAATCAAGAACCGATAGTCCCCTTATATCTCCTACTAGAGCTAAAACATTTGGAATTTCAATATCTTTTCTAAATGGCCATAATGCCATATCTTCGTATAGAGCTGCTAACTCATCAAATTGACTTTGCATTTTATTTTTACCTCTTCTAATCAAGCATGTAGTAATATGGCAAGCATATTGTTGAATAATATATCAATTTAACATTATATTAAAATTTAATTCATGCTAATTTTTATTATACAACAAAAAACATTAAAGTAAAGTTTATTTTATTGCCATTTCTTATTGTAATTTATTTACACAAGATGTTCGTTATTTTATGATACTGATTCTAGTTTGACTATTATGCCTAATGAAAAAAGTGTCAGGAATTCTTATATCTATAAAGTCTTTGAGCCAGGTAAAAAAATGATTTTTCTTTTTGATTATGGTGATAATTGGGAATTTTTAGTAGAATGTTGTGATATCATAGAAGCAGAAACAGGAAAAAGATATCCAAAAGTTACAAAAAAAGAAGGAAAAGCCCCTGAACAATACCCTGACTATGACGATGAGTAGTAGATTTTGATTTATTGTAGTTCAAGTAAGAATATTCTTATTCATTTTTTTGTGATGGCATAGTCAAAGGGTTACAAAAGTCAGCCATCCTTGGACAGATGAGCAAGTTGAGCATATGAATAGAAAGCTAAAAGATGCTACAATTAAAAAGTATTACTACAAAGCAACTCAAAGATCATCTAGCTGCTTGGAAGTTTGAGATAGAAGTTCTGCTAGCACAATTATTACCTTCATTAAAAACTAGTATATTAAATGCCTACGCTGTGACAAGTTAAAATAGGCTCCATCTTCATACACTGAAATATGTTTTCTTTGAATATTTAGGATGTGAGAGGTTAATGCTCGGTTGAGCTTTTATGCTCGTAGGTTCTTGCACCAAAAAGGGGTTCTTAATGGCCATTACAGCTGCTAAGTTCATAGCATTCATTTCTTAGGCTTTTAAGGTGCTTTACAGAGGGATTGATAAAAAGATGTAATTTATACG